GCGGCTATTTTGAATTCTGAATTCGAACTTTGAAATGACGGGATGGAATGCGCGCACTGCCTACACAGGCAACTGGCGGTTCGCGATTGTGGCGTATTTGTTAAAATTTGCAGACATGACAAAAACATTACACTCTAATTTACAAAAAAAAAAAACCGTGGACCCTAGGAATCAGAGCATAACCTATATGAAACAGGTGTCAACTGGCTCCCCTATCACTTGCCCATGCTTTCTGACAAGGTTTGGTTTGTGGCGCGCACTGAAATCCAATACCCGGCAAAGCCGCATCAGATTCTCGCTTCCCTTACATATCATGGCATGATAAACATATCTAGCCTTCATGGACAGAGCTGAGAGTGATAGGGGGTTCTCAACTTAGTGTCGAGAGACTACCCTATCACTCTCAGCTCATTCTGACAAGGTTTGGTTTGTGGCGCAGACTAAAATCCAATACCCGGCAAAGCTGGAGCCGATTCTGGCTTCCCTTACATATCATGGCATAATAAACCTATCTAGCCTTCATGGACTGAGTTGAGAGTGAAAGGGGGTTATCAAATTAGTGTCAATAGACTACCCTATCACTTGCAGAGCCTTCTGACAAGGTTTGTTTTGTGGCCCATACTAAAATCCAATACCCGGCGTAGCTGCATCAGATTCTCGCTTCCCTTACATATCATGGCATGATAAACCTATCTAGCCTTCATGGAATGATATGAGAGTGATAGGGGGGTCTTAAACTAGTGTCAAGAGACTACCCTATCACTCTCAGCTCATTCTGACAAGGTTTGGTTTGTGGCGCAGACTAAAATCCAATACCCGGCACTGCATCAGATTCTCGCTATCATGGCGTGCTGAACCTATCTAGCCTTCATGGACTGAGCTGAGAGTGATAGGGGGGTCTCAAATTGGTGTATAGAGACTACCCTATCACTTGCACATATCCATGATCGTCAGAGGAAGAGTTGTAAGGTGCTAGGAGCTTCATTGGTATAGCTTGCTATGTTGGTTGTGGCGATTTTCAGCCAAATGAGTTATTTAGTGCCGAACTGTATAGTAGGGCTAGGGGAAATGGTAGAGCCATCAAGACGATGATATGGACTACAATCGTTGGACGGAATCTCCTGATAATGTAATATAAACCTGTGCATTTGGTGCTAGATGTTGAGCTGAGAAAAGCCCTTAGGAACTCTTCAGGACTAAGATCGGGTGGTGATGTAGAGTTGTAACAGCGGAAGCTTTTAATGAAGAGTTGATGTGAACCACCTTGTGCTGGTTTGTGAGAACAAGATAAGTTAAATAATAGCAAAGAGATACAGGCCTTTTATATGATTACAGGGAATATAAAGAGTTCTAATTTAACTGTTTTTGCTGTTGCGGTTCGATACAGTGCCGACTCGGGTAACTGCTCTGTAACGAGTCAGTTATGTGTCCTTGCTGTCGAAGACCTTTGACCTTCGCGTAACCTCTGACAGTTGACTCGGGTGCTTCTTCGCTGTAGTCAGTTCCGTTTTGTGTCGCAGCTTCGATACGACAGAGGCGCTATAAATTACTTGTTTCCAACACTCCCCTTCGCTTCTGGAGGATCGTTGCTAATGACGTGTCCTTGTCCAGTCAGCAACATGCAGTACTCAAACTTCTGTTTTCCGAGTTTCTTGGTCAAGTAGTCGGTTGCCATCTCGGATGTGGGACAGTAGGATAGTTTGAGTCTTCCCTTTTCGATCTCGTCTTTCACGAAGAAGTACCGAAGGGCGATGTGCTTCGTTCGATTCGCGAACCCGTTTTTGTTCGCTATGCGAATGGCCAATTGGTTGTCGCAGAAGAGAGAGAAATTGGGTAACTGGGCCAATTTTGCTTCCTCCAGTAGTTCGCGAAGATATAGCCCTTCCTTGGTTGCTGAGCAGAGTGCGATATATTCTGCTTCTGCTGACGAGAGAGCAATTAGCTCTTGCTTGTTCGACTGCCAAGAGATAGGCCCGATAGGTTTGAGTCTGTAGACGTAGCCGGTTCGAGACTGTCTGTTGTCTGAATCTCCAGCGTGATCGGCGTCGACGTAGCCGATTAGTTTAGGAGCCGCAGTGTTGGTTTTGTGGTAGGTGAGTCCGATTGTCGGAGTACTGACGAGGTAGTGAAGCGCTCGGTCGAGTTCGAGCATGTGATCTGCTTCAGGCTTCTTGAGGTAGGTAGCGAGTTGGCTAGCTGAGTAGGATAGATCCGGTCGGCAGGTGACGGCTGCGAAGAGCAGGCAGCCTAGCTTCCTTTGGTAGTCGCGGACGCCAGTAGGTTTGAGTAGGGTGGAGGTCTTCCGATTTCCGTCGGTGTAGCGGTATGGTGTAGAGATGGTGGTTGGGGTGAGTTCGAAGCGTTTAGCAATAGTGTCAGAGTATTTTGCAGCGCTGAGGTAGATGGCATTGTCGCCGTCTTCGATGTTCAGTCCTAGGTACTGTGTCACGGTGGTAGCTGGAGAAATCCGATGCGAATGAGGCGGGCGTGAAGGTGCTGCTGCCATAATGTCGGGGCTTGCTTAATTCCGTATAGTGACTTCTCCAGTTGACAAATTTGGTTGGGGCCTGCGTTGGATCCGTGTGGGAGTTCAACGGAAATCTCAGCATCGACGGGGGCGTAGAGGAAGGCGTTGGCGACATCAATTTGTCGAAGCTTCTTTCAGTTCATGGCGGCGATTGCGAGAAGGATCCGTAGTGAGGTATGTCGGTTTACTGGGGTGAATGTCTCCGTGAAATCTCGCCCTTGCTCTTGGTCGAAGCCCCGCACGACCCAGCGTGCTTTGAACTTGTCGATTGTTCCGTCAGCTTTTGTTTTCACGCGGAAAACCCATTTTCCCGTGAGGACAGTTTTGTTGTGTGCCACTCCGATGGGCACGACTTTCCAGGTGTTGCGCTCCTGCAGCGCCTTCAGCTCTTTGTCCATGGCTTCACGCCATTTTTCCCTGTGTTCCCCCCCCAGAGCCTGCTGAATTGTCGCAGGCTCCTTAGGTGGTTCCGCTCCGTGGACGGTGGTGACAAGTCCCAGTATCTGCAAGCCACTCTGTGTGTAGCGGGGAAGATTTGTGTCCTCTGGATAAACTGCTTCGTCTCCAGCTTCAGGATCTGGTAAGAAGTTTGGTCCTATGCGTTCGGAGATGTTGGTGTCGACCGGTTGAGGTGTAACGTAACCGGTGTCGGCGAAGTCGAAATAGGTTTCGGCGTTGACGCTTTCGCGAGGATTTTCATCGTCCATCGGGATAGGCACGGAGCAGTATGGGAGTGGTCCTGCTTCTTCGGATGCATTGTCCACATTTTGCTCGTCCCAGTCAGCTTCGTCTGCTGCTGAAGCAAAGGCTCGGTTGCCACGGAAGCCGCCCGTGAGGTCTCGATTTGCTGCCAGGTTGTCCAGGTATGTTTGAAGTGTGAGTCGCTCATAGAAGATGACATCACGTGCTGCCACTGTTTCTTTCGAGTGGACGTCAAAAATCTTCCATGCGTTGTAATGCTTTTCGATGCCCAGATGCAGTCCCCACTGTGCGCGTTGAGAAATCTTCCGGCTCTTGCAGTGTGTGGGCGATACTGTACCATGCACCCGAAGACACGTAACATTTTTGTGTTGCCCAACTTTCCAGTCCACAGCAGGTGTGGTGATGCGTTGTTCGGAAGTGACGACGACGAAAGCAAGTTGTGCAGCATAACAGCGTGGTCCATTGCCTCAGGCCACTGGTGATTGGGCAGTCGCATGCCACGCAGCAATTTGCGCATGATGTTCTGGAGAGTTCTGTTCATCCGTTCTGCCACGCCTTGTTGTTGATGGGCGTAGGGAAGCAAAATGAGTCGCTTGATGCCTCATGTCGCGACTTGGAAGATTAAGGTGCCAGACGTAACGAGTAGCGGCGTCGATGAAGGTGATTCAGTTGTTGGCAGTATCACATGTGAATAACGTTGTAAGTGGGGGCGAGCTACACTACAACATCCAGGCCCAGTGCACAAGTTTTTCTTACTGTAATTCAAGGGCACGATGTGCTGACGAATTCACTGTAGTTCATATTTAGGGCAATATACGGATGTCATACTGTACTCAAGCATGCCTATGAGATTTACTGCGTGCTAGAAGGGCAGTTTGTTGAGAAAACTTGAGCTCGCAGATATGCGACAAACGTGCTACCCCAGCAAACCCTCCCGCCACATTCTGCATGGCAGGAGATATGTTTTTTGAGCACGCCGAATATATCTCAGCGGACAAGCGAGTCCGCCCGGGGGAGCTCACTGCCCGCGGGCAAAAAAAATAAAACCCATTCGGGCATGCATCCGGTCAGGGAGGCATCAACCCTAAACACAGGGAGGCATGGATTTAGGGTTGATGCCTCCCTCGGATGGCATGCCATCCGATGGGGTTTGAGGTTTTTTCTGCCCGGGGCAGCATGTCGTCAAGTCGTCAACGGGTCGTCAGGCTTGACGACCCGTTTCCGCTGAGATATTCCGAACAGTAATTCCGTATGCTGACTCACATCAACTGCTTCGTTTCCTGTGAGGGTGTGGCTGTACAGCGGTGTGGACCACAGCCATGTTGTCGTTCTCTCGCTTCGCTTGCAACAGCGTTCTTGTTGCTTGGTTTGTGGTAATTTGGACCATAGGGTATGTTTCGTTTGCAAACCTTAAAAGTGCGATATCTCACAACCCAGTGCATGTTGTTACTATTCTTAACGATTCCCATCGGACGTGAGACACTCCCGCACTCCGCGCACAAGTAGCTTTCTATTAAGTCAGATGCTTATGAGTCCAGAGCCTAATGAGAGTAAGCGGGGGGGTGGTACAAAAATTATTGTGTGTGTGCAGCCCGAACCTGTCCTGATCGCCTTCCTACATCGTCGGTCCCCTTTCGACTTGGCGACGGTGCATGTAACGTGCAGCACAACCTTTTGCACCTCACCTCACTTCACCAAACACCACCTCATCGAACCATTATTAACCCCAACTAAACCCATCCCAAGACACCCATTTTTCGTGGCCTCCTGCATGAAGTACTGTACAATATTCCTGCCGAGTCCCACACCCCTTCCCCTCTACCCCACCCGCCCGCTCGTCCCCGCACTCTCGCCTGCTCATTCCCGCTCCCACGCCTCCTCGTCCCCGCCACCTCGCCTACTCATCCCCGCTCCCAGGCCTCCTCGTCCCCGCCACCTCGCCTGCTCATCTCCGCTCCCTCAACTCCTCTATCTTGCCACTCGCCTGCTCATCTCCGCTCCCTCACCTCCTCTCTCCCCGTTACCTCGCCTGCTCATACCTGCTCCCTCAACTGGTCATCCCCACTCCCTTGCCTGCTAGAGTCCACTACGCTGCCTGCTCGTCCCCGCTCCGACGCCTACACTTCTAACACCAGCTTCTCTCACGCTTGGTGCGCGAGGTCCTCACCTACGCATTTGCAAACCAGTCTGCTTCGTAGTGGTCTGATCCGTTGAATGTTTTGGCATACATAGTTCGGTTTCAACAAGCGTGCGCAGTAAACCGTTAAGTCATGCTTGACCGATAAGCGAAATACTATGCGAAACCCGGATCGTTAAACGAGAATCCCTGTATAATCGTCAAAAGGAGTCTCACACGGGGACAATGCACGGGTTTGCGGCGGAGCACGGGGAGGGAGGTGAGGACGGGGAAGAACAAGGCTACACTGGAGAACCGACAGGGGAAGGGGGAGGATACGAGCAAGGGGAAGGAGGAGGATACGCGACAGTGCAAGGCGGAGGATACGCGACAGGGGGATGGGGAGGATACCAGCAAGGGGAAGGGGGAGGATACGCGACAGGGGAAAGGGGAGGGTACGCAACAGTGCAAGGGGAAGGATACGAGCAAGGGGAAGGGGGTGGATACGCAACAGGGGAAGGGGGAGGATACGCGACAGGAGGATACGGGACACGGGCAGTGGAAGGTTACGAGCAAGGGGAAGGGGGAGGATATGTGACAGGGGCAGGCGGAGGATACGAGACAGGGGAAGGGGGTGGAGACGAGGGCGAGGAAGGGGGAGAGGACGGGGGAGAGGAAGGGGGAGAAGACAAGGGAGAGGAAGGGGGAGAGGACGGGGGAGAGGAAGGGGGAGAAGACGAGGGAGAGGAAGGGGGGGAAGACGAGGGAGAGGAATGGGGAGAAGACGGGACAGGGGAACAAGGTGCATACGCGCCAGGGGAAGGGGGAGTACACGCGACAGTGCAAGGGGGAGGATACGAGGGAGAGGAAGGGGGAGGATACGCGGCAGGGGAAGGGGGAGGATACGCGGCAGGGGAAGGGGGAGGATACCCGGCAGGGGAAGGGGGGGGATACGTCGCAGGGGGAGGATACGAGGGAGAGGTAGGGGGGGAACATGGGACAGGGGAAGGGGGAGGATATGTCGCAAGGGGGGGGGCAAGTCTATGAGGAACAGGAAGGGGGGGAGTTTGCGGCGCATGGTGAGGGAGGATACAAGGCAGAGGGGGGGGGGGAGTGTCATGGCCGAAGCTGGGGAAGACGGTCACGCGAGAGATCCGGCCGGAGGCGATGGTGCGCTGAACGCAGCGGTGCGACAGGAAGCACATGAAGGCAGGGAGGACGACGCTGAGGACGATGATGTTGAACGTATTCTGTACCCTGTCAGGCCGGATGCGGAAGCAAGCCGTGGCTCCACGATGGATGAATCTGCGGAGGAGGCCGCCGCGATCATGCGGGGCAAGGCCAACAGCGCGAATCCAAGGGATCAGAACGTCAGGGACCTCACCCTTGCTGCGCAAGGGGAAGACCGTGGTGTACCGCGTGTAGTCGTCAACAACCAGCAGAAAGTAGCGCTCGCGGCCCTGTCCCACACGTCCATGTGGAGAGTCTGCAGGGAAGCAGTCGTCGGGGGAATCGAGGAGGAGCGAGGAGAGGCGCGCTGCCGCCCCTCGACGTAGGGAAGGCAGGGCGGGGCAGGCGAGGGCGGGAGGGGAGGCAGAGACCTGGGAAGCCAGAGACAAGGAGGCGGGAGTGCATGCCACGCAAGCGTGGCAGGGAGGGGTGACCAAGGCGGTGGTGCCAGAGAAGAGTCTGGTGCGACAGGAGGCGACACGAGCAAGGGGGTGCTACCTGACCTGACGCAGACACCTGGGCAGACGCACCTTCCTGAGGAGACTCGGTAGCCAGTGTGTACAGACTCGACCCTGGCCGACGAGTGAACGTCGCCAGGTGACGGCCCGTTTGTGCACACGTGCAGATCGACACACGCTGACCCCCAGGAGTGGTGGTAGTGACCATCGCATCCTGGAGGGCAGCTGTACTCACCAAGTTCGTAGAGAACGAGGGGAGGTGAAGACCTGACAGTGAGCCGGACCGAGTTGCCGGACACGGGAGAACAGTGGAGGAACGAGCAACGATTGGGCCCCCGGAGGGGTCAGCCAGTCTGATCGGGACAGGTGCAGAGAGAGGAGTGAGGGTGGTGATGTCACGAAAGAAACAGCGTGAGGCACCTGAGTCTAGCGTGAAGGTGTGCAAGGCCTCAACAGGCGCAGTACCAGGTAGAGCAGACTCACTAGCAACTAGAGCAGCAGTCGCTATACCTGGGTCAGGTGTGTTAGAGACTAAGGACGGAGTCTATGAAGATTAAGGGCCGAAATATCTCAAAATCGTCAACTATAATTCTGGACCGAAAAGTTGTCGTCACAAGAAACACCGTCAACCAAACACGAACTGTTAGAATTCTGTCAAACTCGAGTATGTTGTAGCCCTGGACAGTGGCTATCGTTCGGCGCACTCGAGTTATGAAGTTCGGCGCACTCGAGTTATAACTCAATTGCAATTTTCTCACAAGTTTACACAAGAAAGTTAGAGTAGGAAGAACCAGGTAGAAGGGGATGAGGAGGACGAGAGGGAAGGTCCCTAGGGAGTCCCCAACAAAGGAATCCCCATACCACACAATTACCCTTTCTATAGGCACCCCAACTTTGACATTTGCCACTTTCCCAACCGATGCCATCCACCTCACCCAACTTGGCCACACTTGCAAACCTGGATTGGCTTCTCCCAACCACTCACAGAAGAATGAACGAGAATGAATGAACTATGAAATAGTTGGGTACAAGTACTAACCCTAATTCGGTTGTACCCCTTATGGGCTACCCCACTATGGCCTACACAATATAAGCTTTAGAACATTTTGAAACACCCCCATAGGCAAAGTGGGGGAGAACAAGTGGTCACAAGACCAGTTTAGCAAAACAAAGCAAGCTCAGGGTAGATCACAAAGTCACCACCCAGTCCGAGCACAAGCAAAGGGCCACAAGGCCAGTTCACATGCAGAGTTATATAAAAGAGAACAAACAATACAGTGATCATACCCTAGCAAGTGTGAGCATGCAGGTATATATATAGATCACAGTACAAGCAGAGTCAAGCAGTTAGCAAGTGAGGCAAAGTAGGCACAAGGCCTAACACAGTAGAGAAGCGCTGATGATCACTAGGCGGAAGTGCCTTGGTGAATATATCAGCAATGTTGGCCCTAGTGGCCACGTACGCAAGACGAACCTGGCCACGCTGCTGCAACTCTCGAGCAAGGAAGTATCGCAGAGCGATGTGCTTCGTTCTGTGCTCCAGTCTGTGCTCGTGATACAAGGCAATCATGGCCTTGTTGTCGACGTACAGAACTGGAGGCGAACGAGGCTGCTCTGCCAAGTCAGACAGCAGGTAGGTGAGCCAACGTAGCTCCTGTGCAGCCATGGCCCTGGCGTAGATCTCAGCCTCACAACTGGAGCTGAGAACCGAAGACGAGCGGGTAGACCGCCGGGAAAAAGAGCCGGAACCGAGGCTGAAGGTGTAACCCTGTGACGACCGCTGCGTAGCTGAGTCGTCAACCCAAGAAGCGTCTGAGTGACCAGTGAGGACAACTGGACCCCGTCCTCCAAGCACGAGCCCCATGCCCGACGTACTGCACAAGTAACGCAGTACCCTTTTCGCAACATCCCAGTGCACCTTTCGGTGCCTACCGGGAGCCACGTAACGAGCCAAGAGGCTAAGAGGGTACGCGAGGTCAGGTCGTGTGCACGTCATCAGGTACATGAGGCAACCCACAAGCTCTGGGTACGGACCACTTGACTCTACGGACTCGTCCGAAGGTGGAGCTGAGAGCGAGTGGCTGGTAGACAGAGGAGTGGGCTGTGGCGAGGAGAATTGGAAGCTGAAGCGCTGAAGGGCCTGGTGCACCATGTGTGACTGAGTGAGTGTGATGGTGCGCCGTGCTCTGTCCCGGGTGATCTGCAGGCCAAGATAGCTGCGCACTTCACACAGGTCAGTGCAGGCGTGTCTCTTCTGCAGCTCCGACTTCACAAGGGTCAGTGCCTCAGTGTGAGCAGTGGCAAAGACGAGGTCGTCAATGTACACGAGGACGTAGAACGGCGGCAGCGAAGTGACGGTGCACAGAAACAGCGACGGGTCAGCAGTAGAAGGAGCAAACCGAAGAGCCGCAAGCATCGTCCTCAGTGTGTCGTGCCACTTGCGAGGCGCCTGACGAAGACTGTAGACTGGCCGCCGGAGGCTGCACTGGGTACCTACAGGAAACAACTCAGTGAAGCAAGGTGGTCGGCGCAGCCAGATCTCCTCGTGCAGGCTGCCCTGCAGGAAAGCTGTACTGAAGTCCATAGAGTGCAACTCGTGGTCACGCTGAGCAGCGACATGCAGCAACACCCGAAGAGTGGTCATCTTCGGGGTGGGGGAGAATGTATGGAAGTTTTCAACCCCCTCTCGCTGAATGAAGCCTCGAGCAACGTAACGCGCCTTGAAGGCAGGCGGAGAACCCGGCGGCCGCTTCACCCTGAAAATCCACATGCCATCGACTATGTTCGCCCGAGACGGGGGAACTGCGTCGACGCAGGTGCCTGTGGACTTCGAGGATGCCATCTCGGCATCCATGGCTGCCTGCCACAGAGAGGAGTAGGGACCCGTAATCGCCTCTGCGTAAGAGCGCGGGGTCGGGATGTTTGGTGCATCCGGGTTTCCCTCTAGGGCAAGCAGCATGGAAGCGAAACGAGGTACACCAGCTGCAAGACACTCAAAGTCTTCCTGCTTGTCCTCAAGGACATACATGGCAAGAGCACACTCACCCCCGACGGACGGAGGACTGGCAGACTCAGACTCAGCAACAAGAGCAGTGGTGTAGTCTAGACGACAGGCAGCAGCAAAGTCAACTAGCTCAGCAACGAGTGCGGACGCAGCAGCAGACTCAAAAGAAGGGTTAGTGACAACAGTGGTGAGGAGACGAGAGACAGTGGGACTGGCAGCACGCATAAGGTCAGACTCAGGGTCAGGGACTGCAGGAGAAGAGGACTCAGGAGGAGGTTGCACAGGAACACGTAGTGGAACAGAGGAAGGACGAAGTGCCATAGTGTGCGTGGTGGGGACAGGAGGAGGACGCGGACGAGGAACGCGACGAGCAGTGCAAACAGGCGAGACAGGACAAGACGCAGGCTCACGACGCTCTGTAAGACCGCTGGACTACCAAGAACCTACTGAAGCAAGGGAACGAAGAACGGTCGCGGCCGCACACTGCCTCCAGCACCAGCAACTACAGCTCCATGGTCAACAGCTCCTCCTGCTCCAGCGCCTCCTGCGCCAGGGCCTCCAGCTCCAGCTCCTCCAGCTTCAGCACCACCAGCGCCAGTGCCTCCAGTCCCAGCAGCTCCTTTGTAGGTTCTCTAGCTCCAGCAACTCCTACACCACCAGCCCGGGTAGCTCCAGTACCCCGGGTACGAGCACCTCCAGGACCATAGTCACAGTACCTCCAGTACCACCAGCAATAGCTCCACCACCTCCAACTCCAGTGTCGCCAGTGCCTCTGGCTCCGGCAGCTCCACTCCAAAGGCGTGCGCGCTGAACAAGCCACTCACGCAGCTGCTGAGGGGAGAGAGTTTCTGGTCACAGAGACAGTCTCGGCGAAGCACCAGCAGCACCTCCAGACGAAGCAGCACCTCGAGGCTCAGCACCCCCAGATTCCGCACCCTCTGACCCCGCACCCACAGGATCAACACCCTCAGGCTCAGCACCTCCAGGCTCAGCACCCCCAGACTCCGCACCACCAGACCCAGCACCCTCAGACTTAGCGCCCCCAGGCTCCGCACCCCCGGACTCAGTACCTCGAGCAGCACCTGAGTCGCCAGCTACCGCAACAGGCACAGTACAAGGGAAAGGGTCTCCTTGGGACACACCTGAGGGAGCAGGACCCTAGGGCGGGAGGGGGTCTACCGGAGGGGGACCAGGAGCAAGGAAGAGCGGCGGGGGCAGGGGAGGGGCAGAGCGGTAGGGGAAGAGACGGTAAAAGGGAACCGACTCGTCAAACAAGACGACATGAGAGGGGAAGACACGGCGCGAGGTGGGATGGTAAAACTGCCAGCCAGGCGCGTCAGGGGGAAAGCCAAGGA